ACGAGCAGAAGACGGAGGTCCGCATCCAGTTCAAGGATGTCACCTCTGGCATCTTCAAGGATATCCCGCGAAACGAGCTCGTGATCCGTGTGCAGCCCAACGAGAGTGTTTACATTAAGATGAACTCCAAGCTGCCCGGTCTCAGCATGCAGACTGTCGTCACAGAACTCGACCTTACCTACAGACGGCGATTCTCCGACCTGAAGATCCCCGAGGCATACGAGTCGCTCATTCTCGATGCGCTGAAGGGCGACCACTCCAACTTCGTTCGTGACGACGAGCTCGACGCTAGCTGGAGGATCTTCACACCTCTTCTCCACTACCTTGACGACAACAAGGAGATCATTCCTATGGAGTACCCATATGGTTCGTAGAGGCCGAGAACATATGCGAACACTGGCTAACTCTTATCAGGCTCCCGCGGTCCTGCCGTATTAGATGACTTCACTTCTTCTTACGGATACAAGTTCAGCGACGCAGCAGGTAGGACCTCACCTCTGCAGGACATTGAACCCAAAGACTAACTCGATTCTAGGATACCAGTGGCCCATGAACGAGCAGAAGTTGTAGATGGTGACTACACTTAGAAAGCGCCTCGGGTGAGGTCTGCTCGGGGTGACGAAGAATACATTTTTGGGAGGGTTGAGCAGCTTAGGTGCACTCAAGCCAATAAATAATGAATACAACGGCATTTGCATGTCGTACAACTTGTAATTATACATGTGTGATGGTGAACAGCCCGCTGCCGATCACTTTGTTCCGGGCAGCACATTAGACTTCCGAAAGCGGAGGCTGGTAAGCTAGGTATGCTTGGTGGGGTCCAGGGCCAGAGCGGGATGGCATCATCGGCGTTATGAGAAATTTTTGAGAGGCGTCGCGTCAGACGACATCGATTGAGTCAATTGTAGGTGTCACTGTAGGCAAAATTAGACGCAACCAGTCATCAAGTACTCGCAAAAAGTGGGGATCATCTCCTGTGCGTGTGTTGTTGCTGGCTATTGCAGCCGCCAGTCATACTTTGCCGCAACATCCTAAAACCTGCCTTGCGATTACCCTGTGATTCGTTGAGCATTTCACAGTTTGGTAGCTGTAGTCAAGAGTCACTGCGTATTAATAGTCTAGATTCCTCCAGCATCGTCCGGATCAGACAGCCAGATTGAGTTGTCGCATCCCTCCTCCGAGCCACCTCCGCAACAACCTCCGCGCACCCACCATGACTCCCGCACAGGACATTGCCGGCAGCGGCATCAGCCAACTCGCACGCCAAGTGTCCAACAGCCTCAACCTCAGCACCAGCCCGAACCTCTCCTTCCACAGCCCGCCCTCCACATTCCGCCAACCGCCGACTGGCAGCTTCAGCAATCAGGCCAACAACAGCGCGCACGCGCAACAACTCGCCAAGCAACTGAAACCGTTCGACACCAAGGACATCAAGGTTCTGCTGCTCGAGAATGTCAACGAGGCCGGTGTCGATATCCTCCGCGGCCAGGGCTACCAGGTCGAGGCGATCAAGGCCAGTCTGGCAGAAGACCAGCTGATTGAGAAGATCCGCGATGTGCACGTCATTGGCATTCGCTCAAAGACGAAGCTCACCAAGAAGGTGCTGGAGGAGGCAAAGAACCTAATCGTCATCGGCTGCTTCTGCATCGGAACGAACCAGGTCGACCTCCAGACTGCTGCCAGCCAGGGTATCGCCGTCTTCAATTCGCCCTTCAGCAATTCCCGCTCCGTCGCCGAACTCGTCATCTCAGAGATCATCGCCCTCGCCCGCCAGCTCGCCGACCGCTCCATGGAACTACACAATGGCACGTGGAACAAGGTCAGCAAGGGCTGCTGGGAGATCCGCGGCAAGACGCTGGGCATAGTCGGATACGGACACATTGGTAGCCAGCTGAGCGTGCTGGCCGAATCCATGGGCATGAGCGTCATCTACTACGACGTCCTGACCACCATGGGTCTGGGAACCGCGCGACAAGTAGCATCTTTGGACGACCTCCTCGCCCAAGCCGACTTCGTCTCCCTCCACGTCCCCGCGACCTCTGAGACCAAGAACCTGATCGGCGCCGAGCAATTCGCAAAGATGAAGGACGGCAGCTACCTCATCAACAACGCGCGCGGCACCGTCGTCGACATCCCCGCCATGATCGAAGCCAGCCGCTCTGGCAAACTCGCCGGCGCCGCCATCGACGTCTTCCCCAACGAACCCGCCGGCAACGGCGACTACTTCAGCTCCGACCTCAACGCGTGGACCAAGGACCTCGTCGGCCTAAAGAACATCATCCTGACCCCGCACATCGGCGGCAGCACAGAAGAAGCGCAGTCCGCCATCGGTGTCGAAGTCAGCACAGCACTCGTCCGCTACGTCAACGAGGGCACCACTCTCGGCGCCGTCAACCTGCCTGAAGTCAATCTGCGTAGCTTGACGCTCGATCAGCCCGATTGCATGCGTGTTATTTACATCCATAAGAACGTGCCTGGTGTGCTGAGGCAGGTCAACGGTATCTTGCTTCACCACAATATCGAGAAGCAGATGTCGGATTCGAGGGGCGAGGTTGCGTATCTCATGGCGGATATCAGTGAGGTTAAGGAGGGCGAGATTAGGGATTTGTTCACGAGTTTGGAGGAGCTTTCTTGTACGTCTACACTTTCACACCATATCACACTTTTGCTTGAGAAGATGGCTAACATAACGCAGCGTGTATCCGTACCAGGGTCCTGTACTAGGCGGACCGCCCCTTTCACGGTCGCGGAGACGAGCAGGTAGAGCCGCAGAAGCAGACGGAGGAGACTGACCTCGTTGAACAACACAATAACGATACGAGGGATGATATGTTGGGTTCGCTGCCGCATATAAGGGACCTTAAAAGTATGGGTAGAAGGCTTTCGCACGGCGTCTGATTTGGGGTTGTGCATACATTGGCTAGAAAAGTAGAGTTCAACACTGGGTTATTGTTACTACCGAAATGAATGAGAGACGAGATGAATTGACAAAAGAAGCATCTTGTGGAAATGTCTGCTATGTATGTCTTGTGGACCCAGTGAGCTACAGCGCACACGCAGTCTTTCGTTCATGGTATGAAGCCATACCCAAAGCTGACCCAACCCTTTTCCCTCGCCTGTTGCGATCTTGATGGGAGACTCCTCAATACTTTCATCGCGCTGAACACCCGTACTTGCCCCGATGATATCCGTAAGTGAGCTTGCTGCGACATTCTCTGCTTGGTGTTCTTCTCTACTCCAATCAGACTGATCTTTCTTACATCTTCTTAGATGAGAACATTGATAAGGTTGCGACTCAGTCCATACCGGTACTTGTGGTGCCGTCTGTCTGGCATGTGCGCTTGAATTGTGGTCGTAAAGTCGACCTGCAAAGCCGGTAGGAATTGTTTGATGGGCAAGTTGGTGTGAGAGATGGCGTTGATGAAGTCTTCTGCCGTAGGCAAGACCGTTATGGCTCTTCTTTGTCGATTCATGGGACGTTGCCATGTGAAGAGGCTTTCTTGATCGGAGAAACCTGTGATAGATGGGACGTGCTGTCGTCGTGGTCGCGAACTCAGCGGATAGTATCGCCTCCATCCTACAGCGTCGATAGCATGCGACGTGATACCAGTCGAGTAATCGTGGTGCCTGGTGGGATGAAATTCGGTAGTTCGAAGCCTGTGGGCTGTTGCTGACGGGGCCCAGAGACTGTGATACGTTGCAGGCCAAAATCGCCGTGGTAGTACGTGAGCTGTTCCCTCCAAAGCAGGTTCAGCCCAAGGCGATAGTCACCGGTTCTATATCACGTACCCAAGCTAATTCATCTTCGAATGTACCCTTCAACTCTCGCCAGTAGACATTTGGGGTGTCGCCAGCACTCAAGGTCTGGATTCCGGTAGCAGGGGCGATCAGCTCGTCTAATCCTACCGCCTGGATGATGCCCGTGTCCCCAGGCTCAGGATTGGCCAACGCGATTCCTATACGTTCGTAGTGAGTTCCGAGGTCTCGCAGTACCATTATCGACAGGTATCTGAGATTCTGGTCGTGAGTGACCGCACATGTTATCTGATTGCTGTCGTAGTCCTCACCGAGTTCGACGTCCCAGTGTATGTGCATGTAAAGCTTTACGTCACTGCCATTCCCCAGAGCGGTGCCGATAGCGAGTACCAGGAATGATCTTTCCCGCTCGGAAGAACCCCAATCCCACGTCTGGATGAGTCTTGAACGCGTTATGTTGGCCACCGGAAATCGGTGGACTTTGACCGTGATTGGTAAGTATTGGCGGCTGCTTATGTGATGCGGAACCTCAAATCCAGGTTGAAACGGATCGCGTAGGTTAACAGCATCCTTCATCGACACATCACACTGGTGGAGAACATCTGCGAACTTGACACTACCGGCCCAGCCAAGTGGTGTCCAGCTAGGATATTGCGGTCGTCTCATGGCGGTTCTGTAGTGCTTCCAGTTTATACATATGTAACCTTGCCTGATTAGCGGTGGTTGGTATGGTATCCCCCAAAAAGTCCACATGAGACAATCGTTCTTGGCATGGTAGGCCAGAACGCCCAGAACGGCGTTCATGGCATCACTGTCGTGACTGAGTCCGCGAGCTGAATATTGCTGAAGTAATTGCATGATCTCGCCGGGCCCATTCCAAGCGTCGCTGCTTCCTCCTAATGCGTGTGGATTCAGTGTACCCTCCAGTAGATAGACTTCGGATTCGGATGCGCAACGCTGAAAGCCTTCATATTCCTGTAGATGATTGCATATGAACAGAACTGCACTCTCCGTGAAATATAGTCGCCTGCGCGGAAGGTAGCCTTCCTGAAATGTCCATCCTCGTGTGAACCAGCGAGATCTGGCGATGGTCCTGTGGACTGTGGTCGGGACATAGGACACGCGTATTTCACCAACAGTAGCGTCTCGATATCTCGCTCTTCGTGAGCTTCCTACGCCCGGTAGACCCGATGAGGGATCATGGCCGGCTGAAGCGATTAGAGTGAGCTCTGCTGCGGTGTATATCAAATCCATCTGTCGAATCTGAAAAAGTTTGTCCACTGCGTCATCCTGTTGTATGCACTGATCTCTCGGTTAGCGCTGTCCAAGTATAATTTGTGTACTTACAAAGGCGCTGTACGTACAATAACACGTTAGCCCAATTGCCGTCCAAACTATTGCGGAAGAACTCACTCAACCCAGAGATACCGATATCCGAGAAGCAATGTAGCTTGCATGCTGTCCTCAATGGTACGAGGGAGCTCAGAAGGCAGAACTCCGGACTTCATGTCTGCCTTGAAGATAAATCCACCCCACACGTACGACAACGCCACGTATCGGCATCCTGCTCGCGCAGCAATGATAGTCCTCTCCATGCAATCAATGACTTTCAGACCCCAGGGTGCCCCTTGTATGCTGAACTTGCAACGATTATGAGACTTGCCACACTCCTCGAGCCAGCCCCTGATTGCATCGAAGTCAACGCGTCGATCCTTCGTTTCCGCGCGCTTCCAATCATCAGCAATGGATGGATCAGGATACCATATCTTGACCACTCCGGCTTGGCCATGTTTCCTCTCTCTGGTGCCTTCAGAGTCATAGAAGGCGGCCACGCCTGAGTAGCCTAACCAACGTTCCCACCGCAACAATGGTCTCTTCAGACTGGGATCCTCCTCTTGATATGCACTCAGCGCCATACCGAGTACTTGGCATACCTCACAAGCCGAGGTCAATAGCTCTTCCGCGTTTTCTTCGATTCTAAAGATATCTGTACCATCTTCTTGATAAGGTACCTTTGGCCACACAAGTAAGCATCGATCGCACGTATGGCTTGCTTCCGGGTAGGATTGCTTCCGCTCATCGACCGTTTTGTCCATGCTGCTCATAGTAGTTAAGATAAACAATCACGCACTTTCCAAGTGTTGACTGAGCCGACTTTTTTGATTCTGGTACCACCTCTTCGGTAGCGACTCAACCTGAGGTCGATGTCATGTGCTAGGCGGTAGTGCTGTAGAGCCAAGTAGGTGCGGAGGAAAGAGAAAGACAGTGTAGGAAGAATGACATCAGGGTAGTACCAATCGATAGTCCTGGTAGGTGGTACCTTCCCGGGAAGATGCTGATCCAATGAACAGTCAGGTGACAAAAAAGGTTGCTGTTCCTGGGTTGCAATTGTGCCTAACAGGCAAAACGTACCCTGAAGGAACACAACATCTCCCACGTTGGCAAACCCATCGTAAATCTACGGTGAGTACGTCTGGGATGCTATGTCGTGCCGGTACGACGGAGAGGAAAAATTGTTTGGTTTGTAGGCAGTCGCGACTGCCAGTCCAGATGGCGCGGGCGGGCGATAAGCGCTATCGCACGTGATCGTTCATGTGACGTGTTGGTCTCGGTATACAATGTGATATTTCGGGTCAAGTACGTTATGAACATTTCATGTGCGTGTAAGTTGTGATTAGCGGGATATGATTGAACATGTTTGGCGATGTTCATCTAGTCACTTGGTGAAATTTACCAGCGTGATGGTTACACGAAGACACTTTGACTGGTAGCGAGTCGCGAGCTCGTGGAGAACGACGACAGCCACCTGGGCAGATGTGGAGATATCCAAGGAGTCACTCACGCTATGGTGGGTATGACCGAGCCATGGCCATGCAGCCCCTTTGCAGTTAGTCGATTCGATGATTACTGAAGCCCCAAATTCCTGGTCTTTGAAGTACAATGAAGTCGTGACGCCCACGTATCATGCTGAGGCGGCATGTTTCAGTTGGCCGGGTTCAGCAAGAACGGATGCGCGAAGAAAGAGATCCGAGAGGCGAAACATCCAGGGAGTTTACCTGCATAAACTCTGGGGAAGGACTGTCGCTTTAGATGACAGGTGGGGAATGGGACAGTGCGAGTAAGAATGCTGGCCCGCATCTGGGTGTGGTACGCAGCACGTTGGAAGGCCGGACAGCGTCACAGGCTGCTCCAGGTACGCCGAGTGAGGCTGCAGATCGGATGCACGCTGCTGAGGCTATTTGGGATGCAGAAGTGAGGAGGTGCATATGGTGAGACGCCTGTCTGCGCGGTTCCAGGTGGCAGAGCGGTGGTGGTTGGCTCGGCCCCCTGGAGCTGGCCCGTGCGGGTTGGCGGGATGTTGGCGGTGAGAGGCGATTAGCGTGACCAGAGAAAGTCGACAACACGGCGGGCAGCAGTTCGCATAACTTCGCCCACACGATTGCCCTTCTCTCCTCCAGGGATGCATCGAGCCCTGTGACTGCAGCGACATCCCACGCTGACGACGTCCTCGACCGCACCCACGCAGCCAGCGACCGCACCGACTTAGCGAGCTGAGCATATCCCACCACCAGGGAGCCGCCTCTGGACCCTGAACCCGCACCGCCATTTGGAGGGGGACAACCCATACACAACCACCCACCATGGCTCACATCTACGACCTCGGCACCCGGGCATGGCAGCCTGATACCACTGAGGGCTGGGTCGCCTCCGAGGTGACGGACAAGCAGATCGCGGGAGACAAGGTGAAGCTGGTGTTCACGCTGGAGAATGGCGAGGTACGCACACCCACGGGCATGATATTGATGCAGGACACGGCAACTGACGATGCTTCACTGCGCAGACCAAATCCGTCGAGACGACGATTCTGGCCATCCAGACCGGCAATGACCCCAACCTCCCTCCGCTGATGAACCCGGCCATGCTCGAGGCCAGCGATGACCTTACGAACCTGTCACATTTGAACGAGCCGGCTGGTACAGTCGCCCGACCCCACACAGAAGACATGGCATACTGACGGTCGTGCAGTGCTCCAGGCCATCAAGCTGCGTTACCTGCAGAAGGAGATCTACACATACTCGGGTATCGTCCTGATCGCGACAAATCCATTTGCGCGAGTCGACTCCCTATACGTACCCGGCATGGTACAGGTCTACGCTGGCAAGCAGAGATCCTATGGCGCTCCGCATTTGTTTGCCATTGCTGAAGAAGCCTTCGCGTGAGTTCCCCGCGCCCATCTCCCAACCACCCGTCATGGCAGTGACTAATCTTCTCCAGCGACATGTTGCGAGACCAGAAGAACCAGACCATTGTCGTCTCTGGAGAGTCCGGAGCCGGAAAGACGGTCAGCGCCAAATACATCATGCGATACTTTGCCACACGAGAGTCCCCGGACAACCCAGGCAAGCGGAGAGGCAAGTCCGACTCGATGAGCGAGACCGAAGAGCAGATTCTGGCTACCAACCCCATCATGGAAGCCTTCGGTAACGCCAAAACCACCCGTAACGACAACTCCTCGCGTTTCGGTAAATACATTGAGATCATGTTCAACAAGCAGACGGATATTATTGGTGCGAAGATCAGGACATATCTGCTGGAACGGTCGAGACTGGTGTTTCAGCCGCTTAAGGAGCGGAATTACCACGTCTTCTACCAGCTGGTAGCCGGTGCGTCGGACGAGGAGCGCGAAGAGCTCTCCCTGAAGTCGGTCGAGGAGTTCAGCTACCTCAACCAGGGCAGTGCGCCTGTGATTGAGGGTATGGACGACGTGGCTGAGTTCAAGGCCACAAGACAATCCTTGACCAAGATCGGTGTGCCACCAGAAACCCAAGCTGGCATCTGGCGCCTGCTCGCGGCGCTGTTGCACATGGGAGACATCAAGATCACAGCAACTCGGACAGACTCAAATCTTGACCCAGCTGAGCCTTCTCTCGTCAAGGCTTGTTCGCTGCTAGGAATTGACGCCAACACTTTCGCAAAGTGGATCGTAAAGAAGCAGCTCATTACCAGAGGAGAGAAGATTGTCTCCAACTTGACGCAGCAGCAGGCCATCGTAGTCCGAGACTCCGTTGCCAAGTTTATCTATTCGAGCTTGTTCGACTGGCTGGTCGAGCGCACAAACGAGAGTCTGGCCACCGAAGAGGTTATTGCGCAGGCCCACACCTTCATTGGTGTCCTTGATATCTACGGCTTCGAGCACTTCGCAAAGAACTCTTTCGAGCAGTTCTGTATCAACTACGCTAATGAAAAATTGCAACAAGAGTTTAACGCACACGTCTTCAAGCTGGAGCAGGAGGAGTACATGCGCGAACAAATCGACTGGACTTTCATCGACTTCGCCGACAACCAGCCTTGTATCGATCTTATTGAAGGCAAGCTAGGTATCTTGTCTCTACTAGACGAAGAGTCGCGCTTGCCTATGGGTTCGGATGAGCAATTCGTTACTAAGCTACACCACAACTACTCCGGAGACAAGCACAAATTCTACAAGAAGCCCCGGTTCGGCAAGTCGTCCTTCACTGTCTGCCATTACGCCATCGATGTCACGTATGAATCTGATGGCTTCATCGAGAAGAACAGAGATACTGTGCCGGACGAACACATGGAGGTCCTCAAGGCTGCAAGCAATAAGTTCTTGACCCAAGTCTTGGACGTTGCTGCGTCGATCCGAGAGAAGGAGAATGCTACTAGCGCTTCGTCCAAGCCGGGTACTGCCATGTCGGCTGGCCGAAGGATGGCAACCAACCGCAAGCCAACACTCGGTGGTATCTTCAAATCGTCTCTCATCGAACTCATGCAGACCATCAACTCAACCGACGTCCACTATATCCGATGTATCAAGCCCAACGAGGCCAAGGCTGCTTGGCAATTCGATGGACCCATGGTTCTCAGCCAATTGCGCGCTTGTGGTGTTCTCGAAACTGTCAGGATCAGTTGCGCCGGTTACCCCACACGATGGACTTATGAGGAATTCGCCCTGCGCTACTACATGTTAGTCAGATCCGCTGACTGGACGCCCGAAATCCGAAATATGGCCACGGCAATCTTGAAGAAGGCACTAGGTGCCGGCAAGAACGATGGCACCGACAAGTACCAGATGGGTTTGACAAAGATCTTCTTCCGCGCTGGTATGCTTGCGTTCCTCGAGAACTTGCGTACAGCCAGACTCAACGATGCCGCCGTCATGATCCAGAAGAACCTCCGAGCCAAATACTACCGCCGTATCTACCTCGAGATGCGCGAGGCGGTCATCCACGTGCAATCATTGGCTAGGGGCTACATGACCAGGGAACGAGCCGAGGAGGCCAGGCAGGTCAAGGCTGCAACCACCATTCAGAGAGTCTGGCGTGGTAGCAAGGACCGCAAGCGCTTCCTTGTTGTCCGAAACTCGCTTATCAAGTTTGAGGCTGCCGCAAAGGGATTCTTGCTCCGTAAGAACATCCTGGACAAGAGGCTTGGAGATGCTGCTCGCATGATCCAACGCAACTGGCGCAAACAAAGATACATCCGCGCCTACAAGAAGGAGATCAACGACATCATTACTGTCCAGAAGCTCTGGAGGGGAAGGAAGGCCCGCAGGGAATACAAGGTCCTCCGCGCCGAATCTCGCGATCTCAAGAACATCTCTTACAAGCTCGAAAACAAGGTTGTCGAGCTTACCCAGAACTTGGGTACGATGAGGGAGCAGAACAAGTCGCTCAAGTCTCAAGTGGAGAACTACGAGAGCCAGATCAAATCGTACAAGGAGCGCAGCCGTACACTCGAGAACCGCCAGAAGGAGCTACAAGCCGAAGCCAACCAAGCTGGTATCACCGCTGCCAAGCTCAGCCAGATGGAAGACGAGTACAAGAAGCTGCAGACAAGCTACGAAGAGAGCACCGCAAAGATGCGCCATCTTCAAGAAGAGGAGAAGGAACTC